GAGTAGAGAGAACTCCTCAGTGGCAATTAAGAACAGATTCACATCGCATCTCAGAAACCAACTGTACAAACCTAACAAAACACAAAGTCCTGAGCCTCTTAGTATGCTTCTGCCGTCCCATCAGTCACCAGTAGTGGGAAGCAGAGAGCTGCCACAGCTATGAATCAAGAATTCATACACCTGGTCACCTGTCATCCCCATCTTTTTAGGCAAATGAGCTCCAATAGTCACAAGAGCTCTGTAATTTCAGAAACCGGCTTTCCACTCTTGCTCTTCAGGCAGAGCAGAGGGAATTTACTGGTCTATAACAAGGACAGCATCCCCAGTTAATATAGAAGCATTCTGTCATAAGAACAGTGTTAAGACCACAGAGACTGCTTATAGAAATAACAGCACATGGGCCTCCCCAGTGGCGCAGCGGTTGAGCGCTGGGTTGTGAAGCTGTCCCGCAGCCTCTGCAGTGCCAGTTCAATCCCCGGCTGCTCCCCGGCCACCAGAGGAGGGTCCCACATGGTGCGAGGGTCCCACATGGTGCGCAGACCTCTCCTGCCACCCGCTGTTCCCCTCAGCAGTGTACTTTGGCCCTTCTGCCTGCTCTGCTCCCCGCTCTGGCTCTGGTGAATTCTCTCACCTTCCCACGCTTCTGACTGTACCCAGTGCTTGTATAAATAAATAAATCTTTAAAAAAAAATAAATAAATAACAGCACAGCTGACTCATGAACAGCCCTGGGGTAAAAGGGGATGGGGGAGCCAACTAGTGTGTAGTAAAAACTCTGCCCATAACTCATCGTCAGAACTCCTCATCCGTAGGTTCAGCATCTTTGGATTCAACAAAGTGAAATGCACAGTTGGCTGAATTCAAGAATGCAGCCACCTGCAGGGAGAAAAAAACCTGCACTCAGTGGACCAGCCCTGTTCAAACCCATGTTGTTCAAGGGTCAACTGTATCTAGAAGGTAAGATCATGCAACATTAGAAAAAAGCTTTCCTAGTATGGAAAATTAAAAAGAAAAAGAAAAGGCTTTCCAGGTCCTAATAATGACATGAAAAAGTATTTCTATTGTTAGTGAAAACACTGGGAAGAAAAGACAAAGAACAAAACTGTTGTAAATGACCACAACTATGCATTAAAAAGACAGTCACAAGGGGCTTGTCTTAGTTATCCAAATTTATTACAATGTATGCTTACACAAAAACAGATAAATAAATGAACAAACGAGAAGATATTAAGAGTCCAGAGTAGACCTAAGTGTAGTTGAGACCTTGACATTAGATATAGAGGGAGCATTACAAAAGTATGAGAAAACAACAAATTCAACAAAAGGCATTGTGATGATTAATTGGAGAAAAACAGAATTAGAACGCCCTATATCTTACTGAGTTCTTAAAAATATATTCCACATACAGTTATGGTTTTTTTTGTTTGTTTAAAGATTTATTTATTTATTTATACAAGCACTGGGTACAGTCAGAAGCGCGGGAGGGGGAGAGAATTCACCAGAGCCAGAGCAGGGAACAGAACAGGGAGGCTGACTAAACAAACTGCTGAGGGGAGCAGCAGGCGGCAGGAAAGGTCTGCGCACCATGTGGGATCCTCGACTGGTGGGGAACGAACCAGCGCTGCAGAGGCTGTGGGCAGCTTCGCAACCCAGTGCTCAACCGCTGCGCCACCTGGGAGGCCCCAGTTATGGTTTTAAATATGAATAAAAATTTAAAACTATTAGGAAAAAACTAGAATGCAAATGAGGAATGGACAAAAAAAAAACTAAATAAAATATAAATATAAATCTACAAAATAAAAAATATAAATCTACCAAAAAAAAATCTAAAATACAAGAAAAAAAACCTGGAGAGCTAGTAAATACACTTAATCCCAGGAAGATACAAATTTAAATGAGTAGCATCAGGCTAGTAAAAATTTTTAAGTCTGAATATATCAAGTGTTGAACTGGATGAAGAAAGAAAAACTCTCATTAACTGCGTGTGGGGATATATATTTTTACCATAATGTGCAGAGTAATTTTGTTGCATGTGGTCAAATTCAAAATGAGCACTGCTCTGTTAGTCACCGCTCTCTGGAACTATTTCAAATCTAGTAATAGCCTAGAAAGCTCATGCACGGGCTCAGGAAAGGGACATGTGTTGGAATTTTCAACGTGGCATTATGGGTAAGGAAAAATGTTTCTAAAGCAGTCTAGAGTTCACTGGTAAGAAAATACACAAATAGGGCCTCCCTGGTGTCGCAAAGTTTAGGACACAACCTATGAAGCTATCTGCAGCCTGAGTTCAATTCCCAGACAGCCAGTTCGATTCCCACATGGCGCCACAGACCTCTCCTGACTTGCCCGCTGCTCCCCTCAGAAGTGTATTTCAGTAGATCCGCCTGTTCTGTTCCCCACTCTGTCTCTGGTGAATCCTCTCACCCCCCCATACCTCTGGCCTGTACCCCAGTTCTTATATGCATAAATAAATAAACCTTAAAAAAAAAAGAAAATACACAAATAATGTGGTGCAGGATATTCATAAAATACTAGATACTATAAAGTACTTAAAATGGATGAAGTAGGTATGCATTTATTAATCTCAGTAGTAGGCAAATAGCAAACATTGCAGAGTAGGTTTATGCTAAACAATCAGTTGTTTTTGGATACATAAATACATAGTAAAATACAAAGACATAAACGAGACATACAGCAGATTTATTAGAAAGGCTCTCTCTTGACTAGAGGCAGGGTATTGGGGGTCAGAGGTACAGATAGAGGCCAGGCAATAAGACTAGGGGAGAATATTACAATTTGAGAACTCAACATTAACTAAAATGGCTGAATATTTTTTAGTCCAACAAACTAAAATATTAATAACCTTTGCTTAGGTGACATCGTGTAAAGTTTAATTACATTGTCCCCTGTTTCAATTCTGTAATTTTCTGTTATTGTTGTTTCTAATGCACAAAAAGTCCCTGAAAGGAATTCTAAGAACCGTCTATTCTGGGCAATGAGAACAAAACTTTTGAGGGGTGAGGGGCCTCCCCGGTGGCGCAGTGGTTGAGCGCTGGGTTGCGAAGCTGCCCGCAGCCTCTGCAGTGCCGGTTCGATCCCCGGCTGCTCGCCGGCCACCGGAGGAGAGTCCCACATGGCGTGCAGACCTCTCCTGTCGCCCGCTGCTCCCCTCAGCAGTGTACTTCGGTCCTTCTGCCTGTTCTGCTCCCCACTCTGGCTCTGGTGAATTCTCTCACCCTCCCGCGCTTCTGACTGTACCCAGTGCATGTATAAACAAAACAAACAAACAAATAAATGAATAAATAAAACATGCCTCTTAAAAAAAAAAAAAAATTTAAAAAAAAAAAAAAACTTTTGAGGGGTGAGTGGCAGTTGCTATACTGTAGTTTGTAAGTATAGGTCCATTTTAGAATTGGAAAAAATCCTTTTTTCCCAATCTTGTGTGTGTGCACACACATATAGGCAGTGATTAGATTCCATGTAGTTTTGGCTCACGTATACATATATTAACAGGATTTTGAAGGTTTTTATAAATGTGACTTGTACACTGTTCTCCAGTAAAGTACCCTATGGGTTCTTTTTTTTTTTTTTTAATTATTCAGAGGCATGATACCTCTGAAATTTATTATTTTTTTAAAAGATTTATTTATTTATACAAGCACTAAGTTATAGTCAGAAGCAGGGAGGGTGAGAGAATTCACCAGAGCCAGAAACAGAACAGGCAGAGTGACAAAATACACTGCTAAGGGGAGCAGCGGGCGGCAGGAGAGGTCTGCGCACCATGTGGGACCCTCGCTGGAGGCCAGGGATCGAACTGGCGCTGCAGAGGCTGTGGGCAGCTTGGCAGCCCAGCGCTCAACCGCTGCGCCACCAGGGGAGGCCCCCCTATGGGTTCTTACACTACCAAAACACAAAACTATTTTGAAACCCCTAAATATTTATATAAAATGTTAAAGCACTGAGAAGAAAACCTGCTTCTATAAACAACATTTTAGTCCTTGAAAAGAGATAAAGGGTTCCACAATACCTATAGACTATTAATGTTTTATAACGCTTTATTGGCTATAGTGTCCATTTATCTATAGTATGCAAAATTACAAGAAAATGCTATAATGAGAAACAAATTTGGTGTGCATTCCAGAATGAACTTTTACATTATTGTGGCAGCTTGTGGAAAACATGTCAAATTGAAATATAATGAGAAAGCAATAAAATCTCTCATTGTACTCCATTCCATCAGAAAACGAAGTTGAAACTGTCATTACATATAATGAATATCGGTCAAATAACTTCACCGAATCTGTTTTTTCATCTTTAAAATAAGCATCCTACCATGCCTATCTCAAAGGGTTATGGTAATCGAATATAGTAACTTTGATTGGCAAAAACCTGTAGATCTACTTGGCAGGTGCGGAGAAAGCAGCTAGTGCCAAGTCAATGTCCAGGCACAGCAAGCCCTAGTAGTATAATTAAACTGAACAAGGAGAACTTCCTTTGATCACCCACAGAAAAAAGGGAACATAATCATAATGAAATAATGTAAGAAAACAACCTCCTCCCAATGCATAGACAAAAAACTTTTAAATATGGAAATTGAATAACATGACAACAGAATAACTTCTACAGCAATGGTTTCAAGAGGCAATCCTTTCAATTAAAAAAATTGTAAAGCATTATGTAATACATAGATGGAATACAGTTTAAAGAAAAAAAAAAAAGAACAAAAGTGAAAACAGATGGGTCTGAATGCTGAATGGTGTTCCCCAAAATATTTTTTACCATTTTGTGATAACTGTTGTTCTTACTTGTCTCAGCTCACAAACATAAGTGGTGCATTAGGAATGAGACATCCCGGTTAGCCAACCTGCCAAGCCAAATCACCGCAGTACACAGCAGGGCTATGTGCCAAAATGCTCTCACATCTACAGTGTTGCTATACTGGCTTCAAAACTAAAAAGAGCAAAAGAAATAACATGCCCAAACTTTTAAAAAGCATCTTACCAGAGTGATGTCTCGAGAAGCTGCAGCTGCGCTCATATGCAAACTAGGCTGCCTCACAGAGCTGCTGCAATCAAGGGCACGGGCAAATGTCCCGACGGCCCTGGGGAGAAGAGAGAGAATTAAGGTTGATGCTTTTTTATTTTTTATATTTTCACACACACACACACACACACACATTTGGGTAGTGAATGAAAAACAGGAGAAAAAACAAATTCTTGGGTATGTATCAGATAAAGTATTTTCTAGAAGATTTAAGAACTGACAAGTCAATTTGCCACATATTGGCCATTATAATTAAAAAGTAGCCTGTGTGGCATATAGGAGGTAAAGATTATTATGAAATGCCAAGGAGTAAACAATTTGTTGTTCAAATTGTGCTCAAAAACCGAGGAGCGAATTAGCAGCAGTTTCACTATTACAGCAAAGCAAGTTCTGACCACGTTCTTAGCCCAAAATTAGCCCAAAATCGGGTAATCCAAGTAACTTTTTTTTCTTGAAATATCAATTTGAAGCAACCTCTTCCTACAAGGAGTCAATATATAACAGATTTCCATTAAAAAAGCAAAACCATTATCTCAGCACTTGCACTCACTACACCCCCTTTGCCAAAGGGCAGCACCACCTGGATTCTAACCACACAGGTTTGTTGTGTTCATGGGAACTTAAACAGAAGAATCACATGTGATTTACTGTTTTCCAGTCTAGCTTCTTTTGTCCAAAATTATGATTGTTGTTTCATTCATAATGTTGGACGTAGCATGTTCATCCCTCCCGAGGTCCCGACCACAGAGGATGATGCCTCTCTCTCCTTTACCTCCACTCTCTGGATGGACAATTGTTTCCTATCTGTGGGTAGCAACAATGGATAGTGCCACCAACACCATCTATGTAGGTATCTGCTGGTGCAAGGGTATAAGGATGCATTTCTGCTGAGCACATATTTAGTAGTGAAATTTAAGGGCTGTGTATGCTACGCGACAGCAAATAGTTTTCCAAAGCAGCTACACACCAAATGACACTGTCTGCCCCAGCAGGATGTGAGAGCACTGGCTGCTCCACTGAGGCGCTGCACTGCTGGTCAATTTTACCATCGTGGTCAGGTGTGCATGGGTCTTTCATTGCAGTGTCTTAATCTCTATTAAGATTTTTTTAAACAAAAATTGAAAAAGACATTGGATGTATCACCTTGGTGCTTCTCATGATAGCTTCAGGGATAAAGGAAACATATGCCCCCTGGCAATCAGGAGGAGGAAATAGAATGAAGCCAACTCTGAAACTGCAATGTCCACTAAACAATCCAAATCCGGGCAACCTGTTTGGACTCTCTAGAAAAGTGGTTCTACCTTTGGCTCTTTTCTACTCCTGAATCTTCAGTCTTTATTCTACTGACAGGCTCCTTCCCAACAAAGTACATCAAGGCTCTTCACCTAATCACTTCGTGTCTAGGCGAGGGGACTCTGGAGTCTAAACACCTAGCTGCCTATTTAACTTCCCTGAGGACAGGCACACAGGGCCAGGTCACACACCTGAAATCTCTTACAAATCCTAAGAATAAATTTCCCCAACACCTCTAGACCATTAACCCTGGCCCTTCCGAGGGACCCAGTAGGAACAGTGAGGCCCAGACAGAATAATGAGTAGTTGTTCTGAGTAGTTGAGGCAAGGCCAAGTCCCCTCTCTCCTAAACCCCAACTTGTTTCCATTCCCCTTTCAACGACTGCACAGGCACCCCCACCTGAAGGCCCTCCGGGGGCCCAGCCCTTAACCATGTCATGAGATAATGTGAAATTCCAAATGTGGACTAAAGGCAACAAAACCTTTATTTATATATATTTATCTATATATATAACATATAGATACACACACACACACACACACACACAACTAGAGAATAAAATGAAGACCCTTGTATTCATGTCCAGATCTACCTGATTTTAATATTTTGCCATGTTTGGTTCATTTATTTAAAGCAATATTACAAATTTTGTTAGATTCCTCTGTATTTATTCCCAGAACTCATTCATTCACACACATACACACACAACCTGTGCCCAGTAATGAAATGACATTATTTACCCATTATGAAAATTTTCATAGGGGATTCTACCGGATGTATCGTCTCTCAACATTACTTGCAAGATTTATCTCATTGCTACATAAAGCTCTAATTTATTCACTTTAATTGAAGTAAGTATTAATGGATCACTGAGTATACCTCCGTTCATCATTTGCTTGCTGGTGTACTTTTAACTTTTTTCTAATTTTCCCACGATCACAATGCTATGCTAATCTCATTTTACTTTCAACTTTGCAGCAACTCCCCCATGAGCATTGCTTATTTTTACAACTGGGAAAAAAAAAAAAAGGTTTCTAACCCATTCATTTTCTCAAGAAAAGATAAGAGGAAGGAAGCAAGTCAGCCAGACTGAGAGTTCTCAGAGGGGAGCCTGTGCTTAGCAACAGGCCTTCCTCACACACAGGTGTAATCACAGGAATCTGAGGTGTGCAATACTGACAAATGAATAATCTCTGTCCAGACTAACGGAGATCGCTACCTCACTTGAAAATATTAGATTTCATGTGTTGAATTTCCTCTTTGTATTGAATTTCTTCTCTGTAGTAATTAAATTCTACAAGATGTATTTAGTGTCATCTTAGTAAAAATCTATTTTTATTTTTCAAATACAAACTAATGATAATAAATGTTATTATTCAGGAAACAGTGTGACAGACAGCAGGCCTTCTTATACGAACAGAAAAAGCATACAACCGATGAAAAAGACATATACCTATACATTCTTTTATAAAAAGAAAGTTATTTCTTGACTCAGTAGCACCATACTCACCGTGCTACAACTAAAAACTGGTCGATCTGACGATCAGTCAGTGGGCTATTGGGATCCCAAACTTTAACTTCCAACTTCGACTGTTCTCTCTCATCAGATTCTCCTGTCAGAAAACAAAGGAAATAAAGTCTCGTCACTCACAAAGCACACTGTCACATATGGTTGGTGACTGCAGTCACCACAGCATTCAAAATATAAAGTAAGTGTCAATGATCTGAGTATCTTCTCTCAGATAGCAGAGGTACAGCACTCTGTAAACACTGACAATAATACAAACCAACCAACTACAAGATACCGTCTTTTCATCATTAATATTTCCCAAGAAGCTCTACTACATGAGGCACTAAGCCTTTTGTCATAAAGACAAGAGAGTGTGCCTGCCACAAAGACACTATGCTAAAACTTACACATATAAAAAACAAAAACTATGATTCAAAGAGGAAAAAAAAATGTCACCAGAGACATACAGATCTAGCTCTAAGATTCCAAAGATTAGAGGAATTGTTTCACGATGCCATTGCCTTGTGAAGGAGGTGGCATTTCTACTAGGAACTGAAGGGTGTGAATGTACTGGCAGAGAAAGAGGACTTAAAGAAATGAGAACATGAACAAAGTTACAGGGCTTTAAAATGCAGGAGAGAAAAGTAGCTCATTTTGTCAAGAGTACATTGAGAGTGGGCCTCCCCGGTGGCCCAGCGGTTGAGCGCTGGGTTGCGAAGCTGCCAGCAGCCTCTGCAGCGCCAGTTCGATCCCCGGCTGCTCCCCAGCCACCGGAGGAGGGTCCCACATGGCGCACAGACCTCTCCTGCCGCCCGCTGCTCCCCTCAGCAGTGTGCTTCGGTCCTTCTGCCTGCTCTGCTCCCCACTCTGGCTCTGGTGAATTCTCTCACCCTCCCGCACCTCTGACCGTACCCAGTGCTTGTCTAAATAAATAAATCTTTTAAAAAAAAAATTAGAAAAAAAAAAGAGTACATTGAGGGGAATGAGACGAGGGAGCTAGGAGAAATGAGTTATAAATATACTACTCAAGATGTTACATAGACCGGCTGAATAGATTTCATGTGGAGGTAAAGGGAAGCCCTTGATTTTAGTAGGAATGTAACCAGTCCAAAACCAAGCTTCACATCACACACTTAGCAATGGTACGTATTTCCTCTACAGGGACACTGATGACGATAGATATGGTTTTAAAAGTGATAGCATAGAGCAAAGAGAAGATTTAGGAACATCTGTGATGAGCTGGAGGTAACTGGCAAATTTGAAATCTTGAAATTGTATGCACAGAGTTGGCAATAATAGAAAAAAGGAAACAACAGAGTGAGGGTTGACTACTGATAAAGCAGAATGCTTTGTTTCAGGAATCTCTCGTAGAGAGATGTAACCATCAGGCAGGACTCACTGTCCGGATGAAATACAATAGTGGTAAGTAGACTTGGGCGTCAACTGAAATTCTGATTTACAGCTAAGGATCTCGTATTGAGGCTAAGGGCTGGTTTTATCTGTGTTTCATTTTTGATCACTGCATCTATAACATCAGGAAGAGGGCCTTGCACTGGCTGACAGAGTGTGAAGGTAAACATCTCCTGGGTGACTGACAAACCTAGGCTATGGTTCTAATCTTAGTGCAGGAGCATGCAGGCATCCAAGGCTGAAACAGAGAATAGCAAAGGGACAATCAGATCTTTCACATGCAGTCTCCTAAGTCAGTCACAGCTGTCTGGTAGGAGGCTTGTCCATTCTGCCCCCTGTTTAAAGGCAGGTCATAGAAGGCCAATTGCAACTCCCAACATAGAGAAGCAGAGCAAGTATTAAGGTTAAAGAGATCAAGTGTTTTACAAGGATTTCATTACCCTTTCATTACCCTTCCTTACATTCTGGTACATATTACAAAAGGGGCTTAATACCAAACAGCTTCATCATTTTATCTTGTATTATTTCAAAAAACAGATTTCAAATGTAGACTTATTTTTTTTTCCTACTACTGTCTTTTTAATCATTATTTAAAATCTTAAGTTAAAATGTGTTATTTGGGCCTCCCTGGTGGCGCAGGGGGTTGAGTGACACACTGTTTTTATTTACATTTATTAGCATGTGGAGCCAAGACATTTAACATTTGGTTCACCTTTAAAACACAATTATAAACCAAAAGTTTACAAATCATTCAAATTTGCTTGAGAAAGGATAACATTATCAATATACTTGCCTCTATCTTCAAATAACACATTTTATTTTATTTTATTTTTAAAGATTTATTTATTTTTGTATAAGAACCGGGGTACAGGCCAGATGAGTGGGAGGGTGAGAGGATTCACCAGAGACAGAGTGGGGAACAGAACAGGCAGACTGACTGAAATACACTGCTGAGGGGAGCAGGAGAGGTCTGCTTCACCATGCGGGATTTTCGCCAGCCGGCCAAAATCAAACCCGCGCTGCAAAGGCTGCGGACACCTTCACAGTGTGTCACTCAACCCCCTGCGCCACCAGGGAGGCCCAAATAACACATTTTAACTTAAGATTTTAAATAATGATTAAAAAGACAGTAGTAGAAAAAAAAAATAAGTCTACATTTGAAATCTGTTTTTTGAAATAATACAAGATAAAATGATGAAGCTGTTTGGTATTAAGCCCCTTTTGTAATATGTACCAGAATGTAAGGAAGGGTAATGAAAGGTAATATAAGCAAGGGTAAAACTGATATTTACGTTTCAAATACAAGGTATTTAAATTGATAAATTTCAATCCTATCCATACTTTCTGGAGCTCACAGTAGAAAGAGAATTCAGTAGAAGAATTTAATTCACTATAAGCAATCAGTGAAATACTCCCAGGTGCATTTCTACTACCACCTAAAATATAATCCCATGGAGTGAGAACAAAAGTAATAAAAACAAATATATATACATATACTCTTCTAGTCAATCTAGACTAAATGACATTTCCTCATTTTGGATTCATCATGTAACTATATATCACAGTTTGATTACTTCACAGAAAAAAACCTTTAAGAAGAACTTGAATTAAGTTATTTAGAATATGTGCAACAAAATCCTAAATTAAGCTAGCAGTAATCGTTGGCATGGTCTTAATAACTATGCTATGAACTCTAAGATAACTTGAGTAGATAATAAGGAAGATTTAAAATTTTAAGGATATCACACTTTTACACATGTACTTCAATATAAAATAAAAAAGGATCAAAAGCAGAGATGTAGACTAGTTCATATAATTTATATTTAAATGTTTAAACATTATTATAATTATGTAGATACTAACATTTACTCAGTGCTTACTGTGTGTTAAGAACCTTTTAGAGCGGTATTTCTCACTTTCTGCACCACTGACACTTTGGGCTAAATACTCTGTTCTAGAGGCTACACTGGGCATTATAAGATGTTCAGCAGCATCCCGGTCTCTACTCACTAGACACCAGTTGTATCTTACCCTTCCCCAATTGGTACAACAAGACAAAACTGCCCCAAGTTGAGAATTACTGATCTACATAGTTGCAATCAACTCCTGCTTACACCTTTATGGTATGGCTGGTATTCTGTAAGTTGGTTAACATTGACCACATGTAGAAAGTATATTCAGCAAATTTACAAACAAAAGTTATTGGGCTTATGGAAAAATAGGATAAAGCTTTGAAAATCTATTAAACTTGGTAACCAAAGAACTAAAAAAAAAAAAAAAAAAAGCAACAATTATCATAAAAATACCAGTACAGTTACATCTCTGCTGACATTTGCAACAAGCACAAAGGTCTTCCATCCTTTATCTCCTTAAGCCCTAGACTCATGCTTCTCCCACAGATATGTAGGTCATTATGTACGGTGTCAATAAAATTAAAAATAGAATCCAGGATGGGTGTAGGTTTTTAGAACACTGGGAGAAACCTCTTCATAGCCCCTTCATACACAACTGCAAGCTGACCCACCTAGCAGAGTGGAGAGTGCCACAGATTCTGAGGCTACTAAATCACTCTACTTGCAGTCGGGGAAGGTACTTCTGTAGAATTTCCTTCTTTTTGTTCTTAAACTGCTCAATGGTGAGACTACTTGCTTGGAAAAGCCTGAGATGAACTAACACAATCACTGAACTACACTGACATTTTACTCTTTACTGACTGTGTATGAGCTAATTCATTTTTAAAAAGCATTACTGTAGCTGAAGAAATTATCATTTTTTTAACTCTCAAAGAGAGACCTCCTAAAATTCCCAAACACAAAGAAGTTACTTATTCAGTAGCAACAGACAATGGTGACCAGGTGAGAAGAAACTGTGACAGCTAACATTGAGCGCTGGGGACTGTGCTACAAGAATCACTTCACTTAATCACCCCAATATTATGATGTACATAATTATTCCCTTTTTAAAGAGGAAGAAATGGGAAAGTGGAGGGGTTAAATCACTTTTCCAAGGTTATTCAGAACATAGCATAGCCAGGTTTCACCCAAACCTGTGAATCCAGTCATTAATTTAATAAATTACGATGATAATAATGCTTTTAAACAGTTACAAATTTTAATTTAATATGCACATAATTTCATTCTTAAAATTCCAGTGTTACAATACAGTTAAAGAATAATTGAAAACGTCCCACGGATGACATCTTCTCTATGAAAAATTTCCTAGGTGGTTTATTCAAAGATTTAAAATCTCAAACTTTTACCTGCCTTTGCAAATGACATATTGATCTTTCTAAATCTCAAGAGTTAGAAGATTAGCGAACATAACAAATTTAAATATTCTGAAGTGACAAAAGGTTTATTCACTAACTGCCACAATCCATCAAGACACACTCAACAAGAAAGCGAGTCTGTAACGCATCCTGGCCCAGTGTGATGCTGCCGGCTACTCAAAATACTAATTCAGGTTTTACATCTCAAGTCAGTGCATGAGATTGGAAAACGGGTCACCAAATGAAATGTAGTCCCTCAAGAGCATCAAATAAGTTAACAGCCACAGACTGCAGCAAATCCTCAGTATCTGTTCATGAATAAGATGTTGTCTACTGGTAATGGCCATGTTTTTCAAATGTGGTTTAACAGTTAGTTTGACTATATTGTCACCCTACACCATTCTCCTCTGGAAATACAAACTTTAGGGAAAAGGGAGGGAGGGGATCTTTAAAACTTCAAACATTTTGAATATGCTAAAAGCTAAATGCTTGAAGTTGAAATAACAGTTCAAACTGACTTATTCATTTATACTAAAATATATGATGCTTTTCTTTGTTAAAGATGAATACTTATAAAGTAACAAGTTATAAACTTAAAAACACACTTTATAAAAAAATATATAAAATCTATATAAAAAACAAAAACATTCGCAAAATCCAAAAGCCTCGAACAAAGGGTAAGGTTAGAAAATGTAAAAAGCATCAAAATATCTATTCTCCCCTAAATTAACTTAAAAATTAATGGCAACTAGGGCCTCCCCGGTGGCGCAGCGGTTGAGCGCTGGGTTGCGAAGCTGCCCGCGGCCTCTGCGGCGCCGGTTCGATCCCCAGCTGCTTCCCGGCCACCGGAGGAGGGTCCCGCATGGCGCGCAGACCTCTCCTGCCGCCCGCTGCTCCCCTCAGCAGTGTACTTCGGTCCTTCTGCCTGCTCTGCTCCCCGCTCTGGCTCTGGTGAATTCTCTCACCCTCCCGCGCTTCTGACTGTACCCAGTGCATGTATAAACAAACAAACAAACAAACAAGCAAACAAATAAATAAATAAGCATGCCTCTATAAAAAAAAAAAAAAAAAATTAATGGCAACTCCAATAAAAATAGGAAGGGAAGTTTTTTTCTTCTGGAGTTAGTCAAACTGATTAACAAATTCGTTTGGAAAAATAAGAGGGGAACTAGCTTTACCAGATGCTAACATATACAATCCAAAGCTCCATAATTACAAGTCAGTTACTAGAGCATAAACAAACAGACCAGTGGAACAGAATGAAAACCTCAGAAATAGACCCACATACTGCTAATAGTATAAAAGGATCAATCATGTCCCCAAACAATAAATGATATTAATACATTTGCAATCAGAATCCTAATGAAATCTGGCAGTAAAGAAAATGACTGACAGTTTTTTTTAAAAGCTACTAAGATGAGGCTCCCCAACACCAAGCAATTTTAAAGAAGAATGAGGGGAAAACTTACCATAAAATATATGATAGATAACATAAATTTGGCTCTATCAAACAATGGAATACTGTACAGACTATACTATGGAATTCTCTGTATTTATGTAATGAACAGTCTGGGAGAACATGCTGAATTAATAACAGAGGCTAAGTTTGGGTTAGAAGGAATGACCTGAATATAACTGCATTTTGTACAATTCATAAAGTTTGCAATAAAATAAATTCAAAGACTTAAAAACTGGGGGAAAGCTCCCTCTGCTAAGCTATGTTACAAAAGGACTTCACCATAAGTACTTAAAATTGTGCAAAATTTATTTGGGGATTTTGACTGTAATGACAAGATGGGATTCTAACAGCAGCCTTCAAACTAATTCTCTGAGTACTAAACTGCACTGGAGTACCTTGGGACACTGGAGTACCTTGGGACACTTAGTGAGGCCTCCTCCCCTGCAAAGGTCTTATTTTTCTCATTTTATTTAGGGTTATGTACAATATTTCATTGAAAGAAAGGTTTCTTTTGCTCAAAGTTTGTAAGCCACTCACTCAGCAGACTACCAGGAGAAACGTTATGTTAAAAGCAACTAATAGTTGCTAATGAATATAAGATCTATTACATTAATGAATATTTATTTAGTCACATTTTATAAATACAAAGAATGCCCTTGTCAGATAACTGGCATAATTCTCTACATGCTGCAAGCTGTTATGCAACATTCCTTTTGTAATGGAAATTCTTTTTTTTTTTAAGATTTATTTTTTTATTTATACATACAAGAGCTGAGGTATAGGCCAGAGGTGTGGGGGGGTGAGAGGATTCACCAGAGACAGAGTGGGGAGCAGAACAAGCGGATCTACTAAAATACACTTCTGAGGGGAGCAGTGGGAGAGACAGGAGAGGTCTGCTGTGCCACGTGGGTCAGCTCCTTGGCGGGGGGGGGGGAATTGAACTCATGCCACGGTGGCTGCAAATAGCTTCATAGTGTGGAGAATTAACCCCTTGCGCCACCAGGGATTAGACTTTCAGTGAACATAATGTAGCATGAACAGATATTAATTTGTAACACTGTATGTCTAAAACATATATAACCTTATAAACCAATGTTACTTCAATAAAAATAAATTTTACGTTTAACTTTTTTTTTCATTTTTATTTATGTATTTTTACATTGTCCTTCACTTTTGTACAATGTTTGATTTCTCCTCTCAGGAGTTTTTCCCATATAATTACCACCACCAAGGCCCCCTTGAGCAGTCACCATGGACTCTGGTGCTCTTTTGCCTCCCGTTTTGATGCTTTTCCCTCTCCCTCCCCTGCTGAATGTCTCCTGATTCATAGTTTGCCTGCTAGTTTTGTCTTTTAATAAAAAAATATTTTATTAACTCCATTTTACCTGCAAGGTTCTTACGCTTGAAACCCTCAAGTCCTAGAAAACTATAGAATAACTTACTGTCTTTCATGCTTTGTTTTGATTACTAAAATAATGTTTTTTTAATTTCTAAGTGAGACAGATAAGCTTTCCAAATTATGTCACTCTAACTGGCCTTCCTTTACATTTTTCAGGGCAAATATCATTATTTAGTTTTTCAGAAAAATGGGAACTTGTGGAACTGACATTTCTGCCCACTGTTACTTGAAACATCCCAACTTCATTGCTTAATTTGTCATTACCTTAGCTGTACACAAAAATTTGGGGGCTTTCCACCAATTTGCTGACTTACATTCACTGCTCAAGAGAGAACCACACTAGCTCAGAAAATATGAGATTTTGAGTCAAAAAATAAAATGGCATATAAGATAACATGAGTGACATGTGTGATCACATGTAACTGTTCACCAGATTACATGGCCACTTCAGGTAGCTGTAAAGGCACAAGTGTGTCCCATAAAAACTCAAGTTCAACAACGCTAACATTCTTAAAGTTATACCTAAAAGAAAAACACAGCCAGGAAAATCATAAACATGAATAAATGATGAAATAAAATATTTTCTGTTGTTAACTGTTACTTTTCTAATATTGGAAGAACTACTAATTCTTTAACTTTTGCCTAAAAGTTGTTTTGCTCCCATATAAAGAAAACAACATTCAAGTTTTAAGATATATTTGTTTTCACAGGTGTTGAAACCTGAAGAAAAACATACCTTCTAAGAGCATTTCTGGAATGTCTGCTTGATATCTAGGTCCCACTCTGATTTCACCTTTGTCAGCTAATAGTGTTTTCACTGAGGGGTCATAGACCAATGAATAGAAAAAGGAATCCTGAAAAATAATGACAGAAAATATCTAGGTAAACTTAATTCCTTATACTTTTTATAAAGAAATAAATTGTCACAGTAATGAAACTATTTACTTCAGAGCATGTACAAATTGTCGTATTGGAGAATAATTCCTAAATCCCTAAGGAGAGCATGATGTTATTGCCATCATGTAAAACAGTTTAAAATTAAATCAAGCCAAAACAAATAGCTGACCATAAATGCATATTACAAAGTTTCATTATTTTTATTAGTTTAAAAGACAACCATTTAACTACTCTAAAACAGGATTTTGAAAAGCCAGTAAAGTTAAGCTATAAATCAAAGGCAGGACACCTGGAATCACATAATCATTTAAACTTCTAATCACATAATCATTTAAACTTCTAATCACATAATCATTTAAACTTCTAAGCCCAAAACAAACAGTAAAGGTAGCTTTATAGATACCAGGAGCTCTGATTTTTGGAGTGTGCATCCCATATTTTATCAAAAAAAATTAAAATGCACACATATCTCACTTTAAATAAATGATATTACAGTTAAGCTTACATGTGGTTTACTAATTAAAATGCCATATTGCATAATTTAATTAAACACTAATAATAAGTCTGTAATTCTTTAAATTCTGTAGCAATCATATTTATATACAGATAGGCATATAAATTTAACTTTACATGCCACTAAGATCAATACATCCAGCTAACTTTCCCACAGTTCCTTAAAAAACAAGAATGCTCTAGTAGCTAAGCCTCATGAATAAAATGCCCTGGCCACTAGTCCTTTGCTGAATTCTGCATAAACAGTGGAGGTCATTTAAACCAGCAAAGTCCTGTCTCTGCTTCCCACTGTAATTCTAAAGGTCATCTACTGCATGACTCTTGTAAGGGGCTATCCCTATCATCAGCACTTTACCAAGACCCAGCTGAGCACGGCGCAAATAAGAAATAATCTGTCAGATGGTAAATCTCTCTCCTCTCTAGGTCTTGCAGACTGTGAAAAATGGGAAGGAGAAAACTAGAGATGGCAGTATCATCTCTTGAAGAACTCTAGCGCTGTGTTTCACTCATGGATCACTGTGTCAGGAGGAAAGATTAAATAGCAAAAATGTTTAAAAGTCACACCAGTGTGACAATTTATGCATGTAAAGAAATGCCATCTAAGGGAAACAAAAAAATATCAGTGGGGATATATAAACCAACCTGTTAAAATGGATAATGTGAGAATTCAGTATGTAATCATTGTTTTTTGACATTGTTTTTTGACCTAGTAACAGAAAGTTACTATGTAACTAAAAGCTACTGCCACAGGCTCAAACTGCATCAAACTTAAAAGTATAATTTATAGTAAATTGAAATGCAATTATCATTTAGGTCCACATAAGTTGCTTAGACATGGAGATTTACATGTATTGATAACAAAATATTCAAAATGTTCAGTAAAAAAAGGGAAAGAGTTCCAAAATTTGCTTAATGTGCCAATTTTAAGAATACAGAGTTAGAAAGTAAAAAATTATGATTAGAAAGTTGTCCTTTCACTGGAGTTTTGGTGGAGGGTGAGTGAATCAGGTGTACATTAATATGGAGGGTGAGGTTGTCCTCCCAAAATTAGTTATGCAAAAATTGGAAAATCAAAAAATTTATTTATTAATGCCTTTTGAGTTACCATCTTCAAACATGACAATCTCAAGAGTTTAATCTGATTGAAAAACAGGACAGATTTCTATCAAGGAAAGCATTATAATAATAAAGTAAGTAGTCTAAATCACAAAAGTATTTTTGAAATTTAACATAATGTAAGCAGTTTTGGTTACCCTAAACTGCCCCTCCTACCAAATTAAAAAAAAAAGTTTCCTTAAATATACTGCTATAAAGTCAGTTTGACTCAAAGGCTGAGAGACTGATGAAAGAACTTAGGGGTAAAAAAATCAAGAAAAATCAAGAAAGTAAGAAAAAATTTCTTTGCAAATGTTTATCTACTACAGACCTTTGCAAATATTTATATACTATAATCTTTAGACTATACAACAAATTAGCAGGCAAAAAAGAATAGTTAAAAGGAAAAAAATCTCTCTTAGCAGCCAAATGCACTAAAATAAAATACACTTCAACATACTAAGTGTTTCCTTTTATTTCTGTCTCTATGAACTAATGCCAAATTTCTCAGCATCATATTCAAATTATTATCCATCATTCTGTTGAACTGACAATAAATCCTCCTTCTTATTCTAAATGTCAAAAGCCTAAGTTATAAAAATTATTAATCTTTTTCCTGCCTGAGTATTTACTTTTCTTTTTCTTCATAGATATTTCTAAAGCATAGTATTATAACAATCTTTTTTTCTGGTTGAGTATATGAAATTTTTAAAAAAGATTTATTTATTTTTATTTATTTATGCATACAAGAGCGGCGGTATAGGCCAGAGGCACGGGAGCGTAGGGGGGTGGTGAGAGGATTCACCAGAGAGTGGGGAGCATAAAAGGCAAATCCACTGAAATACACTGCTGAGGGGAGCAGCAGGCAAAACAGGAGAGGTCTACTGTGCCCTGTGGGTTAGTTCCCAGGCCGAAGATCGAACTTGTGCAGCAGTGGCTGCCAAAAGCTTGATAGTGCTGAGACCTAACCCCTTGCACCACCAGGGAGGCCCAAGTATATGAAATTTTTTAAAGGAAATATGTCTATTTAATTCTTTAAAAAAACAACACATGTAATAAATATTTTGGGAAAATAAAAACAGCATGAGAAAATGAAGGTTAAATACTGAAACATCACCAAAATAAAATATTTTCCCACAATCAAATGATAAATCACATAAAAGTGCAAAAATGCAATATTGTTTTACAAGAATTTCTTCCCTTCAATGAAGTACTTGCTTAAATTTAACTTGTGAAAAACACATCAGAAATGTCTCTTGTTGACATTTTCAGAAAGAAGTATTTTTATTAACAAAGCTTATTAGGTTTCCAGGAAAGAAAACAGATCACCAAAAATAAAATCTCATTTGGAAAAAGTTTGCAAGTTATTTAAAAAATAGCAAAAGCAGAAAACATGGAGGACCAAATAAAGGCACTTATTTCATAAAAACAATAATATATCTGCTACGAACTAAATCATGTACTTCATTAAACTTTATAAAAACTTCCATTACCTGGGGCCTCCCTGGTAGCGGAAGGGGTTAAAAAACAACCTATGAAGCTATCCACAGCCACTGCAGCATGAGTTCAATCCCCACCCCCGCCAGGTGACCACGTGGCGCAGCAGACCTCTCCTGACTTGCCCACTGCTCCCCTTAGCAGTGTGTTTCTGTCAATCTGCCTGTTCTGTTCCCCCCTCTGTCTCTGGTGGATCCTCTCACCCCCCACACCTCTGGCCTGTACCCCAGTTCTTGTATGCATAAATAAATAAATCTTTTAAAAAAAAAAAAAAACTTCCATTACCAAATCAAAAAAGATAGTGAGATACAGGAATTTTTGCCAACTTTTCTTTCAGTTAACCAGAAACATTTAATTACCCAAATGCATTCTGGTAAAAATAATTTTATTATTACTATTGCTATCAAGGGGCTCTAATTAGCTACAAGAAGTAAATTCAAAAGTACAGGCTTCATGTGAATTAAAAGGGGGAAACAAGTGTAACTGTTAGTTACCTCTTTATCAAGATATGACAGTACTGACTCTGTCTCATTCAGAAGGGCAACACTGCATTTTCCCCTGTCAAAAGAAGGAAAAAGTGAGTAAATGAGGGAGAAACCACCTCACCTTCACAATGATGACATATACAAAGCTGATAATATTCAAAATATATTAAGAAATTAGATAACAGCTGGGAATATATACATAAATACATAGACACACTTTACGATCCTAATGTTACGTAACCTAAAAATAAGATTTGCTGTAGATGTTTATTAAGAGGCTAACCTGTGGAAGGAACTGTGTTAGATAGTAAATTCTCATAAGAAAAAACTTCACAGGCATTTCCTAAGTATTCAAGGGAAAAAATTATAATGTAACTGCAGATGAAGTGTCAATTTCTCAATCTATAAAAGGTTAATATAAGGTAATTTTAAATAAGAACTTCAAATCAAGACATCACCATGCAAACTGATGCATAAAGTAACACACATTCATATCAGGATTAACTAATTTATATCAATAATGAAAAGCTCTAAAGACTAGTTAAAATTTAAACACAATGAACTACTTTCTATACAACAAGAGGCAAAATAAAGATCTACAGATCCACAAACCTTGAAGTCTAACAGTATTTTACCTCTGGTAATAGCCCTGAATGTGAGTTTGAAAATGATGCTTATTTAAAAAAGCTTGTCTAGATTTCAGAAAAATTAAGGTTATCCATGTAGGGATATTTATTACAAGCACTTTTAAAATTTTTCTCACCAGTCTGAAAAATTCAGTTCAGCTACAAATTTGATAGATAATTTTGACAGATTATTCCAGTTAAAAGTATTGGTCAAAGCACACAAAATATTTTTAAATGTCATAATATAATTTGACTTTCTAAACTAAAGTCATTATTTCCTCTCCACAAAAAAAAAGCAAAACCAAATATATCACATATACATTAAATAGGAAGCTCGAAGAGTCACTGTTGAATTATCAGAATGAGATACAATTCAAAAGAAAAAAATTACCAAAAGCACAAAAAAATAGCAAGAGTTAAGTGCTATCACATAGTTTAAATTATAATTTTCTAAACATCTTACAACTGATAGTCCTTAATTAAAATAAAAAATCTCCCTTCTTGAAACAACATTTTCTGGTACTCATCTTAGGTCAGTGACACTTCAAAGAATTCCTCTGAGACCATCTGGTATTTCTATATTATCCTACAAAATTTCTAATTTTATTACCAGGATTAGGATTATAAAGGTTTGTTTTTCTAATATATATATTCATATTCCTGAAGTATTACAATTAACATTATTATTTCTGTACACATAACAACATTCAAAATCAACATTTACCTAACATGCACTCATGAAAGACAGAATTATGAGCAGAGAAATTGCTATTTTGCTATTAGCACATCTACAGCTGTCACAGAAGAACTTCTATGACCTGTGAATACAAAGCAAGCTTACGTAATAAATGGAGTTTCCAAAAATAGTTCTCATTTACTTTTTTTGCCTCAATACTCTGGTTTCTCTGAAATCTTTCCCCATTTACTTTTTTCCTCAATAAGAGCTGACAAAGCATTATTTCTAATTCTTAATACTTAATCACCTAGAACAAATAGTCTTTGTAAATGTCTCTAAAGTCAGGTTGTTGTTTTTAATGTGGAGGGGCAAAACTGCTGAATGTTATTTTAATAAATGCCACTTTAAATACCTGAATTTTAAGGGTTACAGATACTGAAACCTCATACAAACAATACAGCATACTTCATACTGTCTGAAATAATGAAAGAATTTAAATTGAATCATTATTTCCATAATTACCTTAAGACACAAAGAAATGCTGGTTACACTGTTTTATAGGCACAACATGGGCCTCCCTGGTGGTGCAAGGGGTTAAGCACCGAAGCAATCCAAAGCTTCTGCAGCAGCCAGGGAGCAACCCACATGGAGCAGCAGACCTCTCCCATCTCGCCCACTACTCCCCTCAGCAGTGTATTTCAGTCAATCTGCCTGTTCTGTTCCCCACTCTGTCTCTGGTGGATCCTCTCATCCCCCGCATCTCTGGCCTGTACCCCAGCTCTTATATGCATAAATAAATAAATCTTTAAAAAATATATATATATATCTAGAGAGAGAGGGGGGGGCACAACATAATTACAAAGTCAATAGGATACCACAATCTAAAATACACATTATTTTTTGGAATATAGCTTTTATGCAAAGATGAAATAGAAAACTTTAGATTTTAATTTTTCTTTACTGCAACTGTAGTGTACTTTCCCCTAAATTAAAAATGAAAAACCAGATTCTTCTTCTCCTAAAGCGTCTAGGTGATCTCTGAAAATAAATCTTTAAAAAAAAAAAAAAGTAGCAGTAGTTCAAATACTTGTGTTCACAGTAAGAAGGCTAGTAATACTGCCTAGGCCATCAAGGCGATGCATGTCCCAGAAGCCACCAAATATTGGATGCAGCATGTATTCCATTCTGCTGTTACATGGTGGAGTTACTAGGTGGGCCCAGGCCAAACAAACACTGGGGTTGGACTCAGTGTCAGAGTCCAAAGGGTTCTGAAGTTTTACTGCACATGCTTAGCAAATGCAGAGAGTGATGCTCAACTTGAAGGTTTAGATATATAGATTCTGTGGTCAAGCACATGCAGGTGAACAAAGGTCCCCTCCCCCCCAAGATGTGTGTCACAGAATTTACAGAGTTTATGGCTGGATTAACACACATGTGTCCTCCCTGCCACACTGAGATGGCATTTACTGAGGAAGAGCAGACTATTCCTAAACCAGAAATGGAGCCTGCAGAAGAAAAAGAGGTCCCACAAGAAATAAAAACTTAGGCCCAGGAATAAATTCTGCATAAAATAAACGCAAATGAAAGCAGGAAAAAAAATGAAAACCCAAAACTGAAAATTTTCATGTAAATTAACAGCTAACACAAAAGTAGGAGGCTGAGTCAGAATTCTTTTGTGAAATAAATATGAATATATAATTAAGAATCGAGAATTGTTGGGCCTCCCCTGGTGGCGAAGCGGTTGCGAAGCGGTTGAGCGCTGGGCTGCGAAGCTGCCTGCAGCCTCTTCAGCGCCGGTTTGATCCCCCCAGCTGCTGGCGAGGGTCCCACATGGCGCGCAGACCTTTCCTGCCGCCCGCTGCTCCCCTCAGCAGTGCATTTCGTTGGTCTGCCTGTTCTGTTCTCAGCTCTGTCTCTGGTGAATTCTCTCACCCTCCCAGGCTTCTGACTGTACCCAGTGCTTGTATAAATAAATAAATTAATCTTTAAAAAAAAATAAAGAATCAAAAATTGTTGATAAATATAATTTTAAGAGATTTAAGGTGTTGACTTCCTGTATGCCAAACAAATCTTGGCTCATAGATAAAAACCTAAGTTGCAAGCTAACCCCAAACTAATGGATTTATTGTCAAATTCTGAATACAGATAACCCAACTGATTTATATTGAATCACAAACAATAATTCTAATTGTTCTTTTCCACAATATTTCAGTCCTTCATGAATGACATTCTCAGCTAAAACATGATGAAATAAAACACATAAAAGGCCATAGCACAAAGGGTGGTTAATCCAGGTCTGTAAGTATTAATACTGCTATTTTCCAGGGAACCACATAGGAACTCTGAAATCCAACAGATCACATACCTTCTCACAGATAATTAAGAAGTTTAAAAAATATACTTTCGGCCTCCCTGGTGGTGCAAGGGATTAAGCACCACACTATGAAGCAATCCACAGCCTCTGCAGCACAAGTTCAAACCTCGGCCGGCCAGAGAGAAACCCACATGGTGCAGCAGACCTCTCCTATCTCGCCCGCTGCTCCCCTCAGCTGTGGCCTGTACCCCAGCTCTTGTATGCATAAACAAAGAAATCTTTAAAATACACACACACAGTTTTGGAGACTGTGCAGGTTGCTGAGACAGAGAGACATGAATAAATAAGACACAAAATGGTTCCATGCTGAAGGGCAGCTGCTGATCAGTCTGAAACCTGCTATTTGCTTAACAGGAAGTCCAGTATAATCCCACTGCCTCAAAGTCATATGTAAATATGTGCATACAGCTTATATAATGCTTTTATCTCAAAATGCCACCTATTTGTATAAATGAAAAAAACTAAATCTTCGTCCATTTCCCTGAGGTTCATACAACTTTTGGAATGGCTCTGGACTACCCCACTGTTTGGAATACATGCAAATTTCTCAGTGCCACACCACACTTACTGAATCAAAATACCTTGGAGGGGGTGGGTACAGGACTCTAGGTTATTAACAAGGATCACATGTGATCTTTAGACACAACGAGCTTGGGAAACTAGGCTCTTTCAACTTTTCTTGTTCAATGAAAATCATGACTGAGGCATTTTTCTCACTGACCTTAACTTCTGCCATATTTAAGTTCTTCATTTCCCAAACCCTGGTGGCATAATCTGGCATTTATGTACACTGGATAGGCAAGCCCTAGACCTGAGGGTATCAATTCCTTCAAAGTTTTTTGTTTTTTGTTTTTAAGATTAATTTATTTATATAAGCACTGGATACAGTCAGAAGAGCGGGAGGGTGAGAGAACTCACCAGAGCCAGAGCGGGGAACAGAACAGGCAGACCAACGAAACACACTGCTGAGGGGAGCAGTGGGCGAGGCAGGAGAGGTCTGCACGCCATGTGGGACCCTCGCAGGCGGCTGGGGTTTGAACCGACGCTGCAGAGGCTGTGGGCAGCCTCGCAGCCCAGCACTCAACTGCTGCGCCACCAGGGGAGGCCCAATTCCTTCAAAGTTTTAAGGGAAAATCATTTCAACCCAAAATTCAATAGCAAGCAAAACTACCTACCATGAAAGAGGAAATAAATTATCTATGAATTTCATTTCAGAATAGCATAGGATGTAATATAAAATATGTGAAGGAGAAACTGATCTATCTGATAGAGTTGAGAACCTCTGCTGTAAGGTATTATACACTAAAATATAAAACTAAAACTAAGAATCAGAACAAAAAATCATAGAAGTCTTCCAACGAGCACATACAGAAAAGACAGTGTAATTAGAGTATCAC